ATAAATATGTTTATTACTGTGAAAATTATACATTTTTAAAAATTTAAAATTATATCCGGTTTGTTGGTTGCATATGTGTGCAAAAAGGAAGTATTAATCTGTCATGTGTAATAAAGTAGCAGAAGTGGAGAATATTTGAAATTTGGACTGGAACTGGAGTTTAATTTGAATTAAATGGAAAACATTTATTTCGTGCTTCTAAATGAGGATTTAATTAAAATTAAATTAGTTCATCATCTTAGATTTACCCCTGAATAGGAAATTTGAAACATACTTCAGTTGATGGTTGGTTTTCTCTGACTTTGATTAATCACTTTCAAAGTAAGCAGAGGATCAGTACAGTAATTTCGTAATTACATACAAATGAGTTAACTTGAAACTTTAACTAAAATAGCTGTAAAGGAAGTTTGATGGTGGTTAGTTTCATGTAACGCTATGTATCTTTTGTGTATGATTCAGATTCTTAGGAGTGCTAATCTGAAAAAAGGACCATGCCATGGTACTACCATTTATTTGCAAGATACTTTAATAGGGAGATGTTTGATCTGGGAGTATTATTGTTCAAAGATGTTGGAACAGTAAACAGAGGCCGAATGAAGCCATGAAATTGATGGAACGGTTCTTGGTGACTTGAGTGAGCGTTGCATCGAGCCCTACATCTGTAGGCCTTGTTAAAGGTTATTTGCTAGAGCTGTTAATATGGGTAAAGCCAGGAATGTATTCAACAAACCTAGCACAGCATAGGTTAACGTTATCCTCTGCTGCTGAGCTGGCTGCAGATAAAGTTTAAAAACAAACAAACAATCCCCTGCCAAAAAGATCATTTGGAAGTTTTAAATCACTACAGATCTGGCTATTTGTGATGTTAGTAAAACTATAAACATAGGTCAAAGTGTAAAGCAAAACTGTTTTGCACCTTGAGGATCTCAAGTAATAATCAAGATGCATCAAAACTAGAATCACATTTTTAATTTTACAATAAATTTTTATTAGTTAACTTAATAGACATTCTTACTGAAAAAGCCTTCCCATCTTATGTACACATCACTGTATGCTGAATTTATTCAATTTCTTTTTAACTTCCCTATGGACTTGAAAAAATTATTCAGCAAGGTGTTTATGCACAGACTTATGAGAACTCCTTTTACTAAAAGTTCTACAATACCCTGCAGGATATTATAAAATATACCACAGACTTCAAAACTTTTAAGTGGAGAGCCATACATATTTACTACAGATGCTTCTATTTCTTTTTATTTCTATCACCTTTCAAGTTCCAGGATTAACACAAAAGATACAAGGTTAATTTTTATTCAGAGGTCTGGCAGATAGCTTTATTGAAGAGAAGGGAATTTGTGTATTGCTTTTCATTGAAGTAGGTCTGTTCGGATTTTTATATGTGACTAGTGTCTTGTTAAGCCAAAAAATAACTCTGTAAATAATTTTAAGAGGTTCTTGGAAGCTTGAATCAGTGCTTATTTATGGAAGTGAATTATATGTTCATTTTTTTCTTAAACTTTGACATTTTTTCTGTCAGTATAGCTAGTTGACTTGGAGGAAGTGCTTTAAAGAGACTCGATTACTATATTGCCAAATTCTTAACATGTTATTTTACTTTTAAAAAGCAAAAGTGTATTTACTTGTGTTTTAGTTAAGTGCATATTTATTTGATTTTTCATCATGTGGGAGACAACAGCAATCAGATTAGGAGGAAAATATTAAGCTTCTATTGCTACTTACCATAAGACTTTTTTAGAGCAATTTAAACCTATACTGGTTGTTTACTTTGTAAAAAATCTAAAAAATTGCCTACATTGAAAGGAAGGCAAAATTTGGAGTGGAGAAAGTTTATTAAACTGTATGTACTCTGTTTCTGTCCTGGTATTATGTTGCTTCAAAATGTACATTAGGTCATTTTTAAAGAGGATGATGCATATTTAATGGAAGAAATTTATTTAAAAGGAAGGGTTGCCAATCAGTCTAAATTTGTTTCAGTTAAAACTTGATGGTCTAAAGACAACTTATAATCCTTTTCTTGTTATAAAGTATTGTCAAATTTGTAGTAGTATCAGTTAAAAAGTTTATGGAAACTTTGTTTTAGGGTCGTTTAAAGTAGAACTAAATCTTTTAATTTGTATTTGATGGCACCTGTTTTCATTTTGTTTCCCCGGCAACACCAGTGGTATCAAAAATTGCCCATAGACCACCCTGATTTTAGAGAAGAATGAACCCAGCCTGGCTTTTTAATTTCAGTCTTTTTATTTTACTGACTAAATACTTAAACAAAACTCTAACACACAGTCAGAAATTTGTGAACTAACTCGAATGATTTGGGTATGCAATTTGTGATTTTTTTTTTGTATCAGAATTTTCTGTATTAATGCTAGTTTGCTGTGTTACGTTATTTTAAAAATGCATTGAGAGACTAGATAGGAAGTGCTTTTGATATCCAGTGGCAGAAAAAGCTGCATTTGAAAGCTGTATTGTCTGCCTGCAGAAGAGCAGAGTACAAGTTCATAGTTGTATAGATAGCGTGGTCTGTTTTCAGAGTGCTATAGATGCAAATTTTTATTCCAGATATAAATTCTCATTATTTGTATGTCCTGGTTTTTAGCTGAAATAGAGCTGGTTTTTCTTTTTAGTAATTAGAAGAGGGGTGTTTTAGTTTCCAGCCTGGGACTCTCTGTGAGAGAGACACTGATAACGTACCAATGTTTGCATTTTTGTCACTGGAAGTGAAGGACTTTGTGTTGTTAGTCCACAAGCACAAGATTTAGAGGGGGAGCAGAATATTTAAATTAATAAACTTAATTGACAGTTAGACATGCCAATGGGATATTCCATATCATATCACGTCATGTCCAGTATATTACTGAGGGTCTCTTTCTGTTTAGCTCTCTCTGGTTTTCACTCGGGCTCTCGTTCTTCCGGGATTGCGGTTTTGGTTCGGGATTGTCGCTCCTCTGGGGATTGTTATCTGGGAACAGGCCAGGCTCGGTCAGGAGGGGGGTGAGCTATAACATTGGGTGTCATTCACTTGCATATTTTGTTACTGTTATTATCTTTACTATTTTAATATTATTAATAGTATTATTTTAAGTTTTCTCTCTAATTACTAAAAAGAAAACCAGCTCTATTCCAGCTAAAAACCAGGATATTGTATTCCTATGGGGAAAGAAATAAAACTGACACAAGTGTTACCTTGAGATTTCTACTTTTTTCTGTGCCTCTTTACCATGTCTGAGAATTCACGTTGTTTATGAAGATTATACCTATGGTGTTTCATACACCTCAAATCTTAATGTATTATCAATTACTAGTTTGTGTTGCAGAAAAGCAAACATGGACATAATTCTTGTAATTACTGCTTGTATTTACTGCCTACCTGAAAAACTATGCTTTACCAAGAAAAGCCTCCTCTGCAAAGGATATTCCTGAAGTCCATGCTATACTGTTGATGATTTAAAAAAAGAAAAAAAAAAAAGTTGCTATTCTGGTGGAGCAAATCAGGACTAGGAAGAGAATTTCTGATTTACAGTGAGAGTTACAGAAACTGGCAAGCTGGAGAGTCTGGCAAGCTTCAGGTGCGTTATGTTTTCCATTCTCTCCCAGAAATTCAGAATAATTTTGACATACAGTGAAATGATCTGTTCTCAGAAAAGACCATTTTAGTGGGGAGGACCTCTGATGGAGTGTGAATGAACCTCTGATGAACCTGTGATGGCCCCTGCGATACTTCCCAGTGTCCTGGTACCACGACTGTAGGCTTGGCAATAGAGACAGCCCAGTATTCTCTCTGCTGCTGCTCCTTTTTTCATGCTGTGGATGTTTATACAGGTAAATGTAAAACAGGCAGCACTAGCAAGCACAAGGTTTATGGGCCAACTGGCATGGATGTGTTGAGATAGTCATCTGTTTCAACTGGGATGTTCCTTAAGAATGTAATAATCATGAACTCTGACCTTGGGACAGAGGACATGCCTACATTGGACAGGTATATACAGACACAAGTGAGCTTTGCCCATAATGTTCTCCTTTTAATTTTCTCCAGGAGTTTCTCCAGAGCAACTCTGTGTGCACTTTAAATACTTTATTTTTTTTGTCAGATGAGGGAGGAGTGTTACTCCATCTTGCTTTTTGTTTGTTCTTCTGAATAATAAAACTAATTTGTGCAAAGTGTATTTTTTGTTATTCAGAAGTGGTGAGCGTTGAGTCAGATTAATTTAATTGCATAGAGAAATCAGTACTAAGTTCCTTAAAAGTTGATTCTTCTTGCATTCATGTGAATTATCGTAGATAAATGGTGACTTTGGAGCAACTGGATGCGATACCACTTTCTTGGTGTGAAAATATGTAGAGTATGAAGTAGCTAGAAGGTTCTTGCTAGACTGGAAATGCCGCAGTAAGCTGACTGTGTGGAGAAAGGTTTACTGCTGTAGCTCTGGGTGAACAATAGGATGGGCTAAAAGCCAAAGGCCATGTGCGTCTGGATGGGTGTTGAGAAGTTGATGGGTACTCAGATAGCAGCGTTCTGAGGGCAGGACGTGACTTGGCTCCAGCTCAGCAGCAGTACACTGTGCTAATGTGCGCCTGGATCCGAAGTAACATACCTGGCCTCTGAGCTCGTTTACATCTTTACCTCTTTCAGTGTAAAAAATACTTGCTGTTTCATAACCTTTAGCACTGGATTAATTCGTAGTGCCAGGACTGAGTGTGGGCACAGAAGGGCATTTCCCTAAGTGGCTGAAGCATATGCTGCAGTACTTCTGCTGCTGGCTTGTTGACTTTATGCCAGTTGAGAGTAGATTGAAGATTTGGTTCAGCATAAAGTTGGCTGATACAAAGTTTTACTTATTAAATTTATTTTTTAATTAACTTACTGGAGGAGATAGTGTATTCTGTTGCAGTGTTTCTGATCTGGCATTACGATTCCTAAAGCTACTTTAATGTTGTCTGAAAGGAGCCTTGATAAAAATCAACTGGATTAACGTGCCCATAGTATGGCTACACAGCACAAGCATCACAATGTAATACTGACAAACATGTCTATGCTAGGTGTGTTTTATCGAGGATGTGTCCCAACAGCAGTGATTAAGTGGTGGAACAGCAGTATGGAACAACTGGCCAGTGGTCCTGGACAGTCTTGCTCAATGAATGCAGAAAATTGGTATTGCCATGACTTGACTCCATCATTTCTAGCCATACCAGAACGGCATGCTTGCACTCTCAATTCCAACCTTTGTCATCCAGGGTTCTTCTGAAAACTTCTACAAAATGGCTGTAACTTTAGACAAAAATTCTCAGAGTTTGAACTGTATAAAATAAATTTAAAATACTTCCTAAACTAAAAACTATCCAACCAAAAACAAATGCAAAAAACTTTTAAGAAAAATGGAGAAAATAATCACAAACTTTAAACACCTTTTCTACCTTTTTCTCCCAACTTACTGAAAGTGTAAAATTTAATTGACTCAGTTTGCTGCCATGGAAGGGAAGACCTCTAAGTTGTATCAGGATTTTTGCACCCAGTGTTTTAGGATCTTTTGTGCTTGTCTTACCTGACAAACTTGTCTGGTATTGTCACTGAGCTGATCCAAATTTCTGATTTAATAGAAAGCTTCATTTAGTGCTGTCAGAGAAGCACTGGAGGAGTTGGGAGCATGTGATGGGAAGAGTTATCTCCCTTTTCTGTGGTAAGAAGCTGTTATATCAGCATAATTGTATCACGTCAGCTGTGCTGACACAGCTGGGTTTGAACACTGTTGTAAATTGTTTCCTCCATGTGATATTGGTTGGAATTGAGGGGCAGGGGGGGAAAAGACTTTCTGGAGGAAGAAACTTACGTTAGTATACGTGAACATAGAGGTCTGCAGATGGAGGTTTTGTTGAGAAACTGCTCCCAAAAAGCCAGTCTGTCTTTCTCTTGAAATGTTTTAGAGGTACAGATTATTGTTTTAAAGATTCCCAGAAATACCAAATGACCCTGTATATTGTGTGTTTTTGATGTGCCTGGGCTCTCAATAGTACTACTGACTTTCAAACGAATGGAAAAATTACATCTTTGTATTTCTAGTATTCAAGGAATTGGGTGGAAGAACATAAAAAACTTTGGGAAGTGCTCTAATTTTTCTTTCAAGATGCATCAGTCGTTTTGATTGAAAGACTCTGGTGTTCCTGGCCCTGTCAAAGAAACTAGGAGGAGATTAACTACATTCTTGTAGTGTAAGTTTAATCCCACCCTTTATTTCTGAATCATGCAGAACATTTTAATTACCTAACAACACGTTTTTCACTGTGCACAAAAGCTGTTCTCATTAGATCTGCTTTTGCACATTTGCTTGTAGACTTTGATTTATGCAGCAGGGGGTCAAAGCAGGCTGGTGCCCTTTCATGTTAGATTTGTCATGTATTGTATAAATTTTTCTTAAAACATGATGCAGTTACAAGCATCCCCTTCACATCAAAACAATACCTGTTTCTGATTCATCTGCCTCTTGAAAGTGTTTTGTTGGTAGATTGGGTGATCACTGTGAGTATTATTTTTTACATCTGTGATTGACAGGTAATTTAAAGAAGACTGGCCTCTATTTAGGCGTGCTTTGCTTTCAGCAAATGGTATCATACAAATCAATTTCCACATATTTGAAAAAAGGGAAATCAGTATTTGGTGCCCTTGGGGGTTATTAAGACTAGCATTAGGTTACCTACAGGTACACAGGAAAGAAAGTTTTAATTAAAACAGTTTCCCTTTCCATTTTTTGTTTCCTCTTCTCTATCGCCTCTTCCTCTGTAAATATTTTAACATAACTGCAGAGCAAGGGTACAATTATGTTTCCAAATAGTAGTGTTTGAACTGTGGTGTTAATGTCAGATAAAAAACAAAACATAAGGACTCTGTATTTCTGACTTCATATCTTTGACAATCCTTACAGGTATAGATTTTGATAGAATGCATTTTGGCTTCCTGGAGCAACTTGAACTCATTGACTAGCTTTTTGCAGAGTTTGTTCTTGACTCCTTAGTAATTTATGCTGCTCTTATGGATGGGGTCAGTGGGTATAATAATCATTTTCATTAGCCATGAAGGGCGATACGTATCCTACAGGTATTGTTTCATGCACTGAGTGTGTTCATTTCCCACTGATGCTTCATAGTCTAATTAGGATGTTACCTTGATTGCTTACCTATATTCAGAAAATAAAAACATGGTTAGCTCAACTTCCTTTCAGACCTCAAGGGAACTTTTTTCTGTAAAATTAACCTTTACTGTTAATAGAAGAAAAAAGTCTACTGTGAATGTCATTATTATGTTTGTATCACATTTAACTCATAACAGTTTCAGGAAGACACATGGTGATTAGATGGACACCAGCAACCCTGGCAATTGCACAATAACCTTTTTTTTTTTTTTTTTGCTTTTATAACATTTCTTCACTGAGAACCTCTGGTTTTAGATTTTTCAGTAGTATTTGGTTCACCTGTATTTTGCTGTCTCTGCATGCCAGCTTCCTAAGGGAAAAACAGTGGCTATCGGGATGTGCATGTGAGTAGCTAATGGGATGTAACTCGCCCGTCCTTTCCTGCTGTACCTTGTGCTCGTGTACTTTGGAGTTAATGCTTCATCTCCGATATGGACAGCCTTGATAGGGAAATACATGCAAATCTTGTTCAGAGGCAGAGCTATGAATTAAAAAAAACTTACTGTAGAAGATAAATAGATGATCAGGAGCCTCAGGATTTTCAGACAAAAATGAGCATCATATTCTTCATAACTTATTTCCCATGGTTATAAGCTACTTCTAAACCTGAGGAAACCTGCCTCCATTGAGTGAAGGTGAAGAAAACAATATTTATTTTTACTAGTATTTTATACGTGTATATGTGTGTGTGTGTGTGTATATATAGATATACACACACACACACATATATGGAGTTAGTTCTTCGAGCGATATATATGTGTATATATAAAATCTGTATATATCTTTCAATATCTATAATCAAAGAACTCATGTATATATATATATATGGAGTTAGTTTTTTATATTCGAGCGATATATATGTGTATATATAAAATCTGTATATATCTTTCAATATCTATAATCAGAGAACTCATGTATGTGTATATATATATATATATATATGGAGTTAGTTTTTTATATACAGGGATATATATGTATGGATATATCTCTCTCAAAGAGCTCCATACACACACGCATGAGGTTTTTTAAATTATATATATTTGTAAATAGTGCCCTGTAACAACTGGATATTTTCAGGCAGGCAAAAAAGTGTGGCTTTGTTTCATTACTTTTTAAAATATCCACGTTTACCAGCACTCAGAAGGCACTGTTTGTTAAGTAACTTGTGTGATGTCTTCTTGTTGACCACATGAGTGTGAACTGTTAGTCTCTATATAGTTCTCTATGAAATGTTTATGCCTAAGAGCTATGATGAACTTAAATCTCCATCTGATACTAAACTGAGGCTCTGTCAGTTTTATTGCTAAGAGTGGGTGCCTTGGAAATGCTAAACTAGTGTGTAGAAAACAATGTATTTTTACATGGGTCTTGTTATGCATTCCCAACATTAATTGAGTGTCAGATACGTCCTGTGGAGCAGAATTCATCAGAACTCCTGGTAAATCATTCTGTATTCATTTGTACCGTTAGGTAGATTCACATAAAAACATTTTAACTTTGACTTCCAGTCATTGGATATTGTTTTATGAAAAATATAATTACAAGCATTGAATCTCAGGATAAATTCATTAAAAGAGTGTTGCTGCTGTTTAAGATCAAGTTTTTAGTTTAGTTTGTGCTTGAATTTCAACTCAAGCAGCTGAATTATTTGTTTCTTTTCTCTTTCCATGATTCCCTTCTAAATCAGTGCTTGTGTCAGTCTAACACAGTAAGGCGCTACAGCACAGCAGTCTGTAACAGGCATGCTCACATGCTCTCTTTTTAGTTTCTTGTGTGTAAAGGAAGGGTGCATTTGAGCTGATTTAGGATTATCTGTGTGAGTTTGTTACTGCTTAAAATAAAGGCTTGCTTAAAATAAGTGAAGTTTTCTTCATTTTCTTAAAGTCAATACTCTTTGTCCTGGTTGGATAGCTTGTTTAGTCATCATTATAGTGTTCCTAGCTATGTTTTTATGTTCTCTTCAACTTAGGAAGGCTTATTCCCTTCCTCAGTGGGCTTATCCATTTACGGATGACGACCATAATTCACTGAACACTGGGCTTGTTGGGGGCCTTGGTTATGCAGTGCTTGGGGCTATGCCACAGGAGAGGTCCTTTGGGGTATGGTAAGCTATTTTTGAGTCATTGCTTCAGAGCATCACCCCATGTAGCTCCTTGTAAGAAGCTAAGAGAAACTGCAGGATTAATAATCGGGATATCACCCTCTGCACTGTCATGGTCCTGCTGTCTGTTTGAGAGAAGCTCTTGCTTTATCACTTGTGCTCAGGGCTTTCAGTGCCCAGCCTTTCTCTACCTGAAAACTGAGACAGTAGTCGTCTTCTAGCTCTTGCTGTCTTCCAATTCGTTCGCTCCCATTTCTAATTTGAGTTAGATTTGATGCACTTTGCAGCGTGGTGTTAGTCTAAATGTGTAGGGTTGCAGAGGGAAGACATCAGCTCTGAATACATTAATAGAGGAAAGACTGTTCCAGAAAAATTTAAGGACCGATAGAGATGTAGAGTTTGTAGGTACAATCAACAGCACTCAATGCGAAGTCTTCTGGTGGCTCTGTTTCATATTAACACATAGCTTTGGTCTGGGTGAATGGACTGGATGTCTGGAATTCGCATCCACGCTGTGCCAGCTCATAACTAACTTTGACAATATCTCTGAGACTCAGGTTGCCTGGTGTAGCTTCAGTCTTCATCTGACAAGTGAATGACACTATCATCCATCTCTCATAATTCACAATCAGAAAATTTTGATATTAGAGCTCCTCTGTGGCCTGGGGATATTATATGTATGTATGACCAAGAGGAGCAATCCCCTAAGAGGGATTGCTTTCTCTCAGATGAGGGTCAGGCTCCTGAGAAACACTGGCAAAGGAAGAGAGCAAAAAGTGAAGGGAAGTTCAGGTCCCTATGAAGATGTTTGTTCATTATGCTCAATTTCTTGTCTTGTCACTCCAGGTGTAATATTTCTCAGGAACAGCTTCTGAAAGTTTTCAGAAAAATTTGGATCTGAGACAGTGTTTCAAGACTTGTCCCTTGAGATGGGGGACTTCCAAAGAAGGTCTTTTTGCATTGGAGATTCACAGGAAGTAAAAATTCTCTGTATTCCGTGTCAAGCCTTTCTCTTTAGGATTTTTATCACTTCTCCATTTATTGGCTTCCATGAGGTAACTTTATTCAGTCATGCTGTATTTGAGTGCTTGGAGCCTTATTTGGCTAGGAAGTGTGCTTGGACCGTACTTGAGGTATTCAAAAGCTGTTTGGACATGGCCCTGGACACCTGCCTCTAGGTGGCCCTGCTTGAGCATGTTGGGCAGGATGACCTCCAGAGGTCCCTTCCATTCTTAACTATTCTGTGCTTCTGTCACTCTGTGATATCCCTCAGAAATTCTTTCAAGTCAAGTCAAGTCTGTAGTAGAAATTCTTTCAAGTCTGTAGTCACTTGCTTCCATCTGCACCTTTTCATAGAGTCTTCCTTTAAGTTGACCTTGGATCTGCAGAGGTATGGAGGAGTTTGATTAATGTTGTGACTCTTTGTGCAGACTTTATTGGGATTAGGTTGTTATTTTCTTATGTTGGGAAGCTAACAAGCTGATCCTTTTTTTTTTTTTTTTTCCAAAGCTGCATGCATCTCAGATAACATTATAGGTGTCAGGCATGCTTCCCCCCCCTTTTTTTTTTTTTTTGCTTATGAATATCCCCTGCCTGTGTTGTCTCTGCTACAGGGAGCTCTTTAGATACTATAATCTCAAGATGAAGACCATCGTATGGGATAGAGGAATTTCTGTGAAGCTGCTTGGGTGGAATGAATACATAGAAATAGAGGAAGAGAGAGAAGCAAGATCTTCTGCATTTTCAAATACCTTTCTCAGATCTGCAAAGCCTTCTCTTGATAGTTCCCCACATGTGCTGTAAAGTACTGTGCCATTTAGAGTCTGTTCAAGAGAGATGATAAGATGCTCTTTGAGATGCTTTTCATGAGAACTATGTAGTTTACTCAGTGAATAGCTATCGTATGGCTAGAAGAGCTAAGAGTACGAACACTAACATCTCTGTTGAAGGAGAGAGGAAAGGCCATTTACATGTAGCTGTATGTGACTGCCATGTCTTGAAGAACCTTTGCATTCAATATTCCTTCCCCCTTTCTGTCTTGAGCTTTTCTGGTATAAACTGGGGACAAGCTGCTAGGAATTAAGGGTATGATATGGCCCACTTACACAATATCAGCATATCTAGTCACTGCTTGAACCATTGCTATATTGTTTGCATACTTGATTGCAACAGTCACACTGCTAAACTGTAACTTTTCCAATAATACAGGCTGTAAATTGTTGTTCCAAAACCTGTTTGTGAAGGAATGTTATTTCTGTGTATTCCTACAGTAACAGGCCTTTGCTTTCAGTTTTTTTTCTCTGCAATGTCAGTCATTGTAGGTAAGCTGTGGTACATGTCTTTGAGTGTAACAAAATACAATCGGTTAAACCAGACCCTAACAAAAACTCGGAAAATGTGATTAATAAGTGTTTGGACAGGTCAGCCCTGCGATAAAATACGCTCAGATAAATAATTTGGGAATCTTGGTAGATGCGTGCTATTTTTTTTTTTAATATTAATATTCTCCCTTCAAGTTTGTTTAAAACTTGGTTTAAGCAAAGAAATTTAGATGGAAGGCAAATTCACACTATAGTGGATCTTTTATCTCAGTGTCTGTATATCTTTCTGGCCTCAAAATATTACATCTTATGCTATGACCCGTTTCCTTAATTACATGAAGAAATTTTTCTTTTCTGTGTCCTTGATCCTGTAGAGTGATATCATGTACCTGCAACTAAGCAGTATATCTGTACAATTTCTGTGTATTTCCTCTAGGGTGTGCAATATGTTGAAGACGATGACAGAGTCTGGAGGATGTCTAATTAGTGTTATGCTAATGGCATCTAATTAGCATGTGTTGCATTATACTCCTGTTTCCTGTATTGGGTGAAGTTTGTGGCTGAGCAGATCATGTTGGGAGGAAGCAGAGATGGGTACAAAACCTTGAGATGATACGAATAATAACTACCTTACATATTTCAGTGTGTTATAGAATGAACAACTAACAGGGCTACAATTTTATAATACATATTACACTTTACTTTAGCAGTTGATACTACTGTTTGAGAAGTAAAAAAACTTCGGGGCTGGGGGGGGGGAGTTGGGGAAAGCCAAACAAATCCAGACATGGCTAGAAAGAATACCATTGACACACTTGCAGTCAGTTACACTAAGTCTAAACTGATGTTTTATTGAGTAGCATAGATTTTCATTATCATTTTATAGCTAGTGTTTTTGTCATAAAAGATTCAGCCCTTGATCAGGACAAAGACATAGTGTTTATTTGCTTCTTGGAGATAAGCTTGAGGATTTTCCTGCCCCTCTGGAACTAGTTTCTCTGCATTATCAGTGAAGGTTATTGTATGGCTACTTACATGGTAGTTCAGGTTGATTTAAGAATACAAATGTTATTGCAGAAATAGAAGAGGCTTAGACCATTATTATTTTTAGTGTTCACTATAACTCCAGTGCTATGTTTTTCTTTTTTACTGTGATAAGTTCAAATGAGCAGCCTTGAAAAGGTTAGTTAGCCACTGGGGATATTAAAAATAAAGTGGAAACTACATTGTTTATACTTCTTAGAATGTTAGAAATGTGTTGGTGGTTTTTTCTTTTTTTTATTTTTAATTTTAAATTGAATGGAGAAAGAGGAAACAACAAACACATCTAGTGAGTCTGTTCATATCTCTCACCTTAGGGTGAGAAAAAGTTGGCTTTTAAATTAATACATTTCAACATGAGAAATCTAGCAGGCATGCAGGGGGGGAAAAAAGGTAGTTTTTAGGCTTAATTTCTCAGTTTGATGTTTGTAAAAAGGTAATTCAAGCAATTGTGTTCTGTAGCCACTGTATGACCTACCCAGCGGCAATCCAGCCCCTCCATCTTCTTTTTTTTTAAAAAAAAAAAAACAAAAAACAAAACGCAACCAAAAAACCTAATTGGCTCATGTTTAGCTTACTGAATGTCATCTGGACTCAGTAACAAGCAAGTGACCTGCATTCAATTAGTGTAATTGTAATACAAACAGAACATCTCATAGTTTTGGTTTTATACAGGAAAAGAGAAAGTTGGAGAGATTTTTCAGTTTGATAAATAAAACTGAAGATAAAGGGGAGCCAACTTTGACTCACAGTTCACTTTACCTTTTTGCTGTTTTCTTTTAAAAAATAATAATTGGCATTTGAATTGTGTCTGTATATTTTCTATTTGGAATATGAAAGAAGATTCTTCTGAAAGAATCTTCCTTAGGATGTATGTCATGCCAGTTATTAAATCTTAACCAGTCATTGCCAATTCCAGTTTCATCAGGCACAATACCATTTCAGAGAGAGAGTTTCTTTTTTTTTTTATCTATGTAGCCTGTCCAGAATTTGGTATATTGTTTTACCTGTATCATTTGGTAGGATTACTTTTGAATGCCATTATGCAGTTTATATTTTTTGTTTTCTGTTTCAGAGAGAAATGGTTACACCTGCCAAGATACTTCAGTTCTTCATGGCACTTTGTTATCAGTTCCAGTGCTATAATTGAATTTTAACTCTGACTTTTGTTTTTGTAGTTTTATTACTCATGTTGCTTTAAAAGGGATGTTATTTTTTAAAATGTAAAACTAATGCTATTGTATAAGTGATACTGTACCTACTGTACCTTGGTTATACTTTTCTTTTCATTGGTCATTCAAATGTTTAGGTTTTACTTTGTGATGACTCCCACTGCTTTTATCTGCTTCATGGCCTATGGAGTAGGAAAAAAAAGAAAAGTTAAATTTGCTCTAGCAACTACATATCCCTACAGGAAAGGATGTAGATAACTCTTACACTAATCTGGCAATGAAATTAAGGGGCTACAATGTAAATGATAATTTTATGAAGCTATTAGGTTGACTATGGGAAATACTAGTTAGGCAAGGACAGTAACACTGTCCTCTGTAATGTACCTGGTAGCTGGGAAAGCAGCGTGGTTGAGTTTTATTCTCTCAGTACCTTGGGTCTCAGTGGAGCAAAGAGAGGAGAAGTT